AGCGCTCGAAGCAAAGAAAGGGAAGAGACATGTTCTCCCTTATGCTGGATTTCTGTCTGCAGAAAGTTTTTTAGGTGAGAAAATATGCAGAGATGGAATCCAGTTCCAGCTGTCTGAAGGCATGTAGTCCTTTCCACCCCTTCATGGCTCTTCCACTTTACCCTCCTACAGGTATCAACCAAGCCTAAGAGAACACTTAGCCAGAAGTCTGAGCACATTGGAGGTGCTAACATTTGACCTGTCAAATGGCCAATTCTTTTGTCTTTTGGGGCCAGTCAAATGCTCACATTTTAAATAGTTAATGTCATCAGAGTACAATAAATGCCTCTGCTAATTATAAAAATGTGCTGTTGTAACTTTTTGTATGAAACAATAAAGTAATTTTTTTAAGTGATTAGTTGTTATAGCTTTTAACTATGGGAATGCTCTCACTGCATCGTCCTTTCTGGCTCTCACCCAGGAATATCAAAGTTATCATTAAAAAAAAGTTATGCAGAAATAAAGCAATGCAGTAATATGTAGGGAGGTGGCTACCAGCAGTGTTCCCTCTAAGCTGAGTTAGTGTGAGCTAGCTCACAGTTTTTTAGCCTCAGGCTCACTCATTTTTGTCCTAGCTCAGGAAGGATGGCTCCAAAGCAAACTAATTATGCAGTAGCCAAATCGCTCACTCACAACTTTAATGTCAGTAGCTCTCACAAAATAGAATTTTTGCTCACAAGATTCCACAGCTTGGAGGGAGCATTGGCTACCAGCAAGGGATACCATCATGGTTGTGGAAGCTGCCGCATACACAGTGGAATATTTGACTCCTCAGTTGGACAAGGTGCCTACCAACTTTAGTTAAGGGTTGCGGCGTTGAGGTTTGGGGGATCCAGAGGAATGTAGCTGTAGATGACTGACTGTTGGCTTTCTGACGTGTGTACAAATAAAGGCAAATGTGTTCCTAGTCCCTATGATGGCAAATGGAGTAAAACCATGGTGGGGTATGGTCCAGAAGATGATCATTTTGTGGCGGAGCTAACCTACAATTATGGTGTCGGAGACTATCGTCTTGGCAACGACTTTCTGGTAGGTGTTGCTTTCTGAGATTACCCTGAATTTTGCAGGTATGTCCCTTAGAACCCACGCTTAGTGCTAAAAACCATGCACTCTTGTCTAGCACTCTGGGTTTCTTTTGAATTAATGTATTTGTAGCTGTTTATAGCTATGATCACTTGACCAAGGCTGTTGTGGCAACATACAAATAAAGGAAGAAAAATAACAGTGACAAACATCTTATCATTTGAGAATCCAGGACAAATGGGGGGAAAACCATTTCAAATGGTAGCAAATACCTAGAAGGAGGTTTTGCATAAAGGGCTCCATTTTTAAAAGATAACACGTGTGCAAGCTATAGGGGACAGCAGATAAATCAAGCAATTGCTGGGAGGGGGAAGTGTCTTCAACTGGCACCAAAAGCTTAAAAGACTCACTGCCAGGTGAGCAGAAAAGGGGAGGATGTTCCAGAGACAGGTGCCACAGTCGAAAGGCCCTGCTTCTTGTCACTGTCTACCTTGTATCTAAAAGAGGAGGGAGGATGACCAGATCTTCACTGTTGGCACAGGAATAGTTTGCTGGCTTTTCAGCTGAGTTCTAAGGCACCCCAGAGATGGATTAGGGGTTCCCCAATGGGAAGATCACACACGGCCAACCAGCTTCCAGAGTTCTAGGGCACCCCAGAGATGGATTAGGGAAGATCACACACGGCCAACCAGCTTCCCAGAAGCAGAGACTGCCCACTGCTGTTCCCCTACAATGAAGAGTCTTAGCAGGGAGCGTCCGATGTCTGTTAGGTCATGTTCACAGATTACTCTGAACACGGATAAGGCTAAGAATCCAAACGGAGAGCATCTTGCCTAGTATACGTTCCTGAATCAGGATGCTTCTCGGCAGGCAAATTACTGCCACGGGGTAAGGAATAATTGCTCCAAGCAGTGGCCTGCCACCGACCTCCCTGTTATCTTGTGTTTTCTGGCTGCGCCAGGGGATGACTGTCGTGTCCCACCAAGCAGTGAGCAATGCCAGGAAGCTGGAGTGGCCCCTCAAGGAAATCTCAGGAGGCATTTATCTAGTGGAAGCTCCTGGAGGCTACAAATTCTACCTGGAAGACAGAGAGTCACCGAAGCCAGGTGAGGGGCGTGGTGTTCCTTCCTTCAGCCGTCGTGCCTTGTCTGTTCCAGCTGGTCCACCTGTAGTTCAGATTGCAGTGTGGGTGTGGTGGGAGGGGGCTGGTATGGGTGAGGGCCGTCAGGGTGAGGGGGTCAGGCACTGGTCTCCTTTTTGGCTCTAAGATACCCTTTTGGAGGTGGGAGGGATGGAGGGCGAGCAGCTGGGCTCTCATGGACTTCCAGATGAGGGAAATGACCCTTCTTCGCTCTTGTGTGTTCTTCTAGATCCAGTGCTGAAGGTGACCTTAGCTGTCTCCAGTCTTCCGAGGTCGGTGGCCTTCTGGTCCAAGTTGCTGGGCATGAAGATCTACCAGGAGGATGAGCCCCAGCAACGCGTTCTGCTCGGCTATGCGGAGGACCAGGTTGGTACCCGTCGTCCCTAGTGGTCTCTTTGCTTGTTTGACGGCTGCTTTGGAGACTGAGACTGTTTGTTTCTCATATGGTTTTCGTGTTGTCTCGTTCTTCCTTGTGAAGCTGCCTCAAGCGGGTCTCTGGACAGGCAGCATTTACCTTTTTTCCTAAATAAAACAATAAATAGCAGAAGAAAGGGCTCCAGAGAGGCTGCAGCTCGGTGGTCGAGCATCTGCCTTGCATGCAGAGCAGGTTCCAGGGTCAGTCCCCCCTGGCTTCTCCAGTTGGAGGGATCGGATAGGCGGTCATGCAAAAGACCTCTGCCTGGCACCTTGGAGAGCTGCCACCAGACTGAGTAGACAGTACTGACCTCGATGGACCAACAGTCTGATTCAGCGTAAGGCAGCTTTTATGTATTAATGTGGTGCCCACCTGGTGAAATGGCCTGATCCTGCATTCAGTCCATTCCGTGAACGCGGAAAGCAGAGTTGTACACTGTTGGGGGGCTACTGTCTGAAGTGCCATCAGGAATTAACAGTTGTTTGGAGACAGCCAGAGCAGCACTGGCCAAAGATCTTGGTGCCTCTCTGCCCGTTTGTCTGTGTGTGTGTTAGGGTATGGGAAAGTTGCTGTAGAGTTGAGACGTCAGAGTGCAGCAGCTCACCTTTCGTCCTGGAGAGAGAGAGAGAACCTTTTTGCAAAGGTCTTTATACTTGAGTGATTAACAGCAGCACTTTGAGAAGCACAATTAGTGTCTACGCTAACTCCCCATTTGCTGACCAAACTTGAATGAATCTCACTAACTCAGCTGCATATTAGATTCCAAGGCAAGCAGGGCTTCAACACAAGCCTTCTTTTTTGCCCCCCATTGAGGCCACTTGGAGGAGGTGTTTCTTTTTGACCTACTCATGTCCCGTTAAAGACACACTCAATACAGAATAGGAGGGAGCCAGCCCTGTTTCTCTTTGCCAAGCCCTTTCGCTGATCTGCGGAGTCGATTGGTGTAACCCAGACGAAAGCCAGGATGACGAGATTTCTGTCCATGGTCTGCAGACGTCTGATTGCTGCAGGCTCGTGTTTCTTTGCCCATTGCAGCTCTCTCCTGTTCTTTTTTGTTTCCTCTGCCAGTGCAAATTGGAGCTGCGAGGCATTGGCCAAGCTGTGAATCATGGCACAGCCTTTGGACGGATTGCCTTCTCCTGCCCAAAGGAGCAGGTAAGCCCTTCCCTTGCACACCAGGTGCTTTTGTCCAAAGGATCACTTGGGTCCTGGAGCTATGTCATTCCCGCTTCCATTTGTGAACAGGGGGTGGCATCAAAGCAGTCATCCTGTTTTGCCTTTGATGGGATATAATTTTCTTTCTTTCTTTATTTTCAATTTGTATCCCGCCTTGGCAGAGAACCGGCTCAAGGCGACGAACAGACATTAAAAGCAATAAAATAGTAAATACAATAAAATATACATAAACAACTGCCTAACATCATAAAATTCTAACAAGAGCAATGCAGATGACGGCGGCTTCAATATACAATCCCATAGAGGGAGGCAGTATCCACCAGTGTTTCATATGGGCCATAGCGTGTTCTGGTGGCAGATTCATCAGTGGCGGCTCCTAGTCGAAGGCCTGGTGGAAGAGCTCTGTTTTACAGGCCCTGTGGATCTGTAAAAGGTCCTGCAGGGCCTTGGTGTTATCCAGGAGCTCATTCCACCAGTGTGGAGCCACCACTGAAAAGGCCCTGGCTCTAGCAGCGGCCAACCTGGCGTCTCTCAGGCCGGAGAGAGTCAGGCGATTCTGTGTCCCTGACCTCAGTGCTCTCTGGGGCACATGTGGGGAAAGTAGGCAGGCCCATGACCATATAGGGCTTTAAAGGTCAAAACCAGCACCTTGAAACGAATCTGGTAAGCTATTGGCAGCCAGTGCATAATAACATCCTAACTATCTAAGCTCCATCATCTTGTCTAGCTGTTAGTTCTCTCGAGAGAGAGAGAGAGAGAGAGAGAGAGAGGAGAGAACAAAGGAGAGAGAGCTTTCCCCAAAGCCCCTACTTGTTGTATACATGACAAACAACATATAGTCTTTACCCAGTATATCGATTGGCCAATAGCTGATCTTAGGACCAGCTCATTAGGAATAGTACCTTCCCTCCTCTGGCGGGAAATACGTGGCTAACATCTAATTGGATCTAAGCTAACTAACTAGCATTGGCATACACAAACAAGCAGATTAACTCTTTCATGACAGAAGGGAATGGCACTTGCATTTTTACTCCGTGTAACCCTTCCCTCATTTCAGTAGACTTGTCTTAAAGCTAATGACACTCGTGTGTGCTGCGTTGCTTTTGACTCTGCTGAGTATACCACAGCCTTCCTCCCCTGGCAATGGGACTCTGAAGCGTGCTGCGACCCTACTAGGATCCCCAAGGAACTTCAGGGGGGTGGTAATGCCAGGAAGTGTGAAAGGTCAGGGGCAGTGTTCCCTCTAAGCTGAGTTAGTGTGAGCTAGCTCACAGTTTTTTAGCCTCCAGCTCACACATTTTTGTCTTAGTTCAGGAAGGATGGCTCCAGAGCAAACTAATTTATGCTGTAGCCAAATCACCTGCTCACAACTTTAATGGCAGTAGCTCACAAAGTAGAATTTTTGCTCACAGGACTCCAGAGCTTAGAGGGAACATTGGTCAGGGGGTGTTTTCTTGTGAGCAGTCCTCCACTGGCTTCCTGCTGGGTGTCCTCCTGCTGCCGTGAGGGTCTTCTAAACTCGTTGTTACCCTCCGAGGAGCTTCAGGTTATCCTTGCCACCACTTTGTCTTCACAACAACCCTAGGAGGTAGCCCAGGCTGAGTGTGTTTGCCCCAGAGTCCTTTAGTGCTTGAATGTATTCCAATCTGGGTTTCCCCAGTTCCAGACCTGCGTGTTCTGTTTGTTCCCAAGCTTCTGGATATCGAAGCCTTGATGAAAAAGGAGAATCAGAAAATTCTGACGCCTTTCGTGAGCCTGGACACCCCAGGAAAAGCGACCGTCCAAGTGGTCATCTTGGCGGACCCCGTGAGTGCCCTTGGAAATGGAGGGAGGGCATCTCAGTTGCCCTTTAAGGTGTCAATTGTCAGAGGAGCCCTGCTGGATCGGGCCCAGGGGCCGGATCTCCTGGGAACGTCCACAGAGAACAGTGAGGGGACTGCCCCCCCCCTTATCTCCCAGGACTGGCATTTTGGAGGGATTCTGCACATGAAGGTTCCACTCAGTGACCATGGCTAATGACCATTGATCAACCAATCGATCCTCCTTGAGGGTTTTCCTAACCTTTTTTCAAAGTTGTCCAAAGTGCTGGCCAGCATATTGGACACAAGTTCCACGCTTTAAAAATTATTTACTGGGTCGTCTTGTTTGTAGACTTGTGCAGTGATGTCTTTAAACAGGTAGCCGTTGACTTCCCCCCCCCCAGTAGCTTGGAGGCATTTCCCCCCCCCTCCTCCTCCAGCTGCCCTTAAAATAAGGTCAAGGTGGACTGTCCTTCAGCCTCTCCCTTTCCTCTCTGGGAGGCGCTGGCCCCCTCCACCACAGACACTGCTTCTCCCCACTGTCTAATTTTAGACTGTAACTTCCTTGGGGCAAGGACCTGACTTTTGGCGTGTACGTTGCCCTTAAAGCACCTCTTGCATCCCTGAGGCTGGATTGCTAGTATCCCTGTGACAACACAGAACCTAATGTGGTATGGGGAGTGGTGGCTGCTGTGGGATCGGCGTTGGTCTAGAACGCAGTTTAAGAACATAAGAGAAGCCCATGTTGGATCAGGCCAATGGCCCATCGAGTCCAGCACTCTGTGTCACACAGTGGCCAAAAATACCAGGTGCCATCAGGAGGTCCACCAGTGGGGCCAGGACACTAGAAGCCCTCCCACTGTTGCCCCCCCCCCCCCCACAG